ATATTAAATTCAGTTAAAGTATCAACAACATATAGACCTTCACTTGTTCGATGCATTACATAAATTGTAAACGTTCGCTCTAAATTTGATAAAAAGCTCGTAAGGTTTGCAATAGATTTAATAAAATGCTTAGCCCTAAATATGTGTTACTTACGGTAGACGACAATTCCATATGATTCAACAAAGGATACTTGTTGTTCAGTAACCCCACGTGATAAATAATGTTGACGTTGATAATGAATAGAAATTTGCATACACTTCAACACTTTTTCAGTGTCATTGTTTAATTTTTTGATATCAGCGTAGAGGGCATTACCGATAACCTCTAAGAATCCTACTTCTAAAACAACAGCGTTTACGTTAATTGAATATATCCCATCTTGGGAACATCCAATGCTAACCCGTTGCTTATATTGCCTAGTTTCATTTCTCTGCGTTTTGTTTGACAAATTTTCTACCTCCCCTCTGTGCAAAGACAGCCAGTTAGCGATTAAAGGAATAGATAACAAATAATAATGGCAGATCAGATACTTACGTTTTTACCTTGATTAAAAACATGATGTCGTCAAAAACTTTAACAATAGTGGGATTTACAAAATTTTCTCGATAAGAAAGTTCGCATTGATCCGGATCCAATAGTAAGTTGGTGGGTGCATCGAAAAGAAATAGACTAAAATAGATGGCATAAACTTAAATGTCACAAATGGAAATGACACCTTCCGTCATATTCTGCGGAGTCTGAAAATAGAACATAGATCAGATGGGTATGCTACAATTTTAAAATTGTGTAAATGAGCGTTATTACCTCTTGAGATAAAAGATATATATCTTCATTAGCAATATTGTCAATTTCATTATTGACCTCTCCGTGATTTTTTCCATTATCCAAATCAGAGGACTCATCGTAAACATATGATTCATTGTTATTGCACTGTTGTGAGTTATTTTCGCATTAAGAAAATATCAAAAGTAATAAGACATTATTACGAGATAGAATATAATTACTTCCTGGACCCAATGAGGGTAAGCATTTCGCGAATAGATTTGATGTGGCGGAGTACAGGGTCGAAACCAATCTTCAATTTTTGCTCTTTTGGGAACTTTATTATAATCCTAAAGATTAAAATTGTAGATGGATTAGAAACAAATACAAATAATAGTTATAGCCAAATAATGCGTACCTGATTTTCAGGAACCGGTGCCTCTCTCTTTGAAGATTCAACAATGAGCCCATTTATAGTTCCAGATGTCCCGCCACTTATAGTTCCAATACCTTGGCCAACGAATGTCGGATTGTGGAGATGTACTTGTTTCTTGGTATGCTCTGACTCCCAGTTTCGCGCAATTTTGTAGTCGGGTTTAGGATCCTAACATATAAAAGATGTTATTTGAATATTTTGACAACCAACCCAATTATCTATAATCCCATAATTTCCTTAACCCCATACTGTTGGATCAGCTTAGGAACCTTGAACATCAAACAACCTCAGGGAATTGTTTGAGCTCCAACAGGGCCGGTACCGAGTCAGCTTAGGAACCTTGAACACAGTAGACCTCAGGGAGCCACCTGTGCCTCAATACCGCCGGTGACAAAAAACCTCAGGGAATCCTTTGCCACCCATTT